AGCATCAGAAAGCATGCTAGGAGGAGGCAAGCAGACCCCTCCAAGGTGGCCCTGTTTCATACCACAGAGGGCAGTCCACTTTATTAAGTCCTCCAATGCAGACAAAAGCAAGCATACAGGTACACAAGCAATACAACCCTCATAGCCCTTGTGTCCTACAGAACCTAGATGGTGCTTCTAGCTGCCCTACAGTTAACAACAACCTTTCCAAGCCTGGACCTTTAGTTGCTGTTCCCTGGCTCACACTCACACTTCCAGCTGGACACAGCTACTCACAGGTGGTGTTGCCTAGGCTGTGCGTACACAGTTCCCACCACTCTCACTTGCCTGTCAGAATCTGCTGGATACAGTCACACTCTTCTCCACCAACCTAAGGGAACAGCTTTCTCTTTTCCCTTTGAACTTCAGATGTGGTCTTTCATCATTGTCCTTAGGTACATGGTTAAGCCAAACCATCATTCCATCCCTATGCCCATGGGAACTGGTATAACCTTCTGGAATCTCTATTTTTAAACCCAGGGTTCCAGGAGGTGTGCATAATGCAAGAGGACTCACTGTGTGTAACTCTTGTTAAAGGAGGCTGCCTGTCAAGAATTCTACTAAGAGCACAGGCCACCTCAGAACTGGTACTGAGCCTCATGCCCCTGTAGGTGAGTGTCACCAGTACATTCCCTGTTTGAAACTATTTCCTTGTGTTCCACCTCAGATTCTTGAGCAGGGCTTACAAGACTACAGAGCCCTTGCATTTGTATGGCCCTCTTGCTCTATTCCCTTCTTGTCCCTGTCCTCTGTCCTCACTCCCGCCTTCTAGGTCATCATGTCCCAAACCCAGTTATTGACATCCTTTTGCCACAAGGCTTCACATATCCAAGGGCATTCATTGAGAATATCTGTATATAACAATACCCAAATAATGCTGGCTTTGAGGAAGAAAGTCGATGTTTCATCATTTCCAAATGTCTGGAAGTAGTTAATTCAGGACATGGAATAATAGAAACCTAGTTCTTCTCTGCACGGCTGCCATTCCAAAATCCTCATGAGTGACTAGAGTTCCAGTGTGAAGCTGGAAGGAAAAATGCAGGGCTACTTCCCTGAAGAACACATCTAAGGAATTGCATATATTACTACTCTTTCTAACTGGTGGTCCAAATGCTAGCTGCAAGGGATTCTGGAAAACCTAGGGTTTTGTTATTGTTTGCTGTTTTCCCAGATGGACAAATGCCTGATGAAGATTTCAGGTTCCACTTCAAAGGGTGAGAGGGGAAGAGATGGGGCAGTGAGAAGCTTCTGCCTTATGTAAAGCATCTATACCACTTTCTTTTACTTTAAACCTGTTTTATGTGTCACAAAATAATTCAGGCACATAACTGAAATAGTTAAATATAAACTACATTTTATATATAGAACTACATTTTTTGCTACTCAGTCCAATGCCCCTCTATAGAAACACTAATTTTAATTTTAGGATTTGTTAAAAGTAATTTTAAACAAATAATAAAAATTAAAGTTTTCTCTGTACCCCTTAATTTTAGGCTTTTAAAATTGCCTTTCTACTATAGTCAGCAAAGATTTGTCTTTCTTTCAGACATACACACCTGCTCAGTTATGCTCTCCAGATTCTCCTAGTGAAATCATGTGAAATTTCCCAGTTAAGAAGTGGTCAGTTTATTCAGTATTCCAGACATGTAAATGTGGCTCACTGTGGTATCACAAAGACATTTCATTTGGGGGAAATGTGCCTCTCCTTGGAATGAAAACTCACTTCATGTTTTTAATTCTTTAGTTTTAAAAACTCTTCCTGGAGCTGCAGAGATGAATTATGCAGGTTTGCCATGTAAGCATAAGGACCTGTTGGAGCCTCAATACTCATGTAAAAATCCTAGTTCTAGGAGGTGAAGACAAGAGGATCATGGGGACTCAGTAGCCAGCCAATCTAGTCAATAGGCAAGCTCCAGGTTCAGTGAGAGACCCTCTCTCACCTAATGAAATGTAGAGAGTGATTAAGAAAGATATCTAACGTTAACCTCTAGCTTCTACATGCATACACACATGTGCTCACATGCATACACATAGCAAATATTTAAAAAATTAGAGCTTCCCCTATTTCCTCCAAGAGTTTCTTAACATTAGTCAAGAGTTCAACCTGTCATATCATCTACTGGATTAGTTTTTTTCTCCAGTAGACTCTTCTCACCAAACCTTCTGTCTCAGTGTGCTCTGAAGTGGTCATTCTTTAGACTAGAGTGGAGCTGTTCAGATTACCTCATTCTGAAAATTTCTTTACCCCTTTCATGCGAGAGATTTGCTTCCTGGATACAAAACTTTCTTAGTTAACAAAAAACATCTTTTCTGTGTCCCCTAGAAAGGGCCCATGAAGGTAAATTGTCTGTTTAGAAGCTGTCTTGATTATACCTAACATGATAGTTTGGCTAGGTATAGAATTTTATGTTGAAAATGTATTTTATTCAATATGTTAAAGACCATATCTTATCTTCTAGTGTCACTAATTATCTAATTTAATTGGTCTTCTCCATCTTTGGTATATGATATAATTTCATGTTTCCTCTCAGAATGTTCAAGAGTCTCTGTGGTCTCTGTCCTTGCTGATCTCTCATGCTACACTGACGTCCCTAAGGTGGGCCTTATAGACATGATGCCGGGCTTCCAACCCATAAGGAAATTCATGCTCTTTTGTTTGGAAACTATTTTTGGTGTTCCTTGCTTGGTAATTTCCTCTCTCCCACTGTGTGTCTTTACTGTTTTTTTTTTTTTCCCTCTGTAGAATGCCCAACAGTCAGGATGTCAAAGCTGTGTTAAATATAATTTTTAAAGTTTTTGCTTTTTGTTCCCTGTCTTTTTACTTCATTTTCTGAGAGACTTCTTTGGGTACACCCATCAGTCTTTAGGGTGTATTTGTCATTTCTGCAACCCTGTTCTGAATTTATAGAGCTTTTTCTTGTTTATTTTGGTTGAGTTTAAAAGCACTAGTACCTTGCTTGGATTTTGTGACTTGTAATGCAGCCCTATACATAGATGCTCTCCTGTCATTGTTCTGAGAGGCATCCCCGGCCTTTTCCCCCCATGCCATTCCTAGCTTTGTCCTCCCATCACTGTTGCTGACAGTCAACAACTCTATGAACTTGTTCATTTCAGGCCTTTCTTTACTTCTGCTAGAATGAACACTTCATGAAAGCAAGGTCCATGAACTACTTACCCTGACTGTTCTCACTTAACTATGGACTGGCACATATTCAATAAAATAGATGCTCAATAAAAACTCAGGTGCTAATAAAAGCTAAAACCGTTGTTACTGTGTTCCAGGTTTTTGCACATTCCCCACTCTCTAAGCATCTCCTCTACTATTCCCCTCTGTGGCCAGACAGTCTTTTTTTAAAAAAAGGTAAAAGTTGAGCTGAATGTGTGACACTCCATATCCCAGCTCTTAGCCCCTCTCCTCTCACAGGGCTGTATCCACACTGCAGGTGCTGGCCAGTCACAAAGGGATTCTTTCACCTTGAAAAATGAGAATCAAAAGGACTTAAAGACCCAAAGGGATCTTTGCTTGTCATAAGTGTAATTAATTTCTTCACAAGACAGAAAAAGAAGACGTCTAGTTAAATTCTTCTGGTACCAAAGCACAAGTGATCCCAGAGGAAACAGCAGACCCATGTGTTCAATTCCCCCCTGAGAGCTACAATCAATTGACATTAAGTAGCAGAGGGCATTCAAGTACATTTTAGACTTCCTACTCTTCTTATGAAGTTAGAGGCCCCCGAGATGCCAGGCCAGCATCCCCAGTGGGGTAGCATCATAGGGCATGTAGACCGTCAACCCATTTGAGTGGGCTGCATCCTCGCCTGACCTACCCGCTGTTCATGCTGATCATGGGACGCATTTGCCCTGGGACTTCTAGATGGGACTGCACCAGGAGCTGAGTGTTGGGTTATCAACATCATCCCCATCCCGGAGACTGAGTTTGGTACAGACAAACAGCAGCTTCTTGGTGTACAATCTCAGAGTCAGAGGTTGAAATTTCCTTTTTTTCTACTTTGTGACCCATCTGTGTTGGATGGTGCTGTTTTGGGTGGTGGGGTCCAACTGGAGGAAGTGGGTCATGAAAGGTGTGACTCTGAGGGTTGCACCTGGCCTCTAGTCCCCTCCCCCTTCTCTGCCCTTAGATAAAGAAGCTTCTCCACACACATACCAGCCTTCATGATGTCATAAAACCAAGTAAACATGGATGGGCCCCTCTAAAACGATATGCCAAAGCAAACTATTCCTCCCTGAAGTTAGCCATATTATTCAAGTCATTAAGTCGGTTGTTTCAGCACAGCAACATGTACAAGTCAGTGGATACTCCTTGGCATGATTCCTCTTCAATAGCAAAGTGACTGGGGTGAGTTGCCACTCTGACTGTGTCTGTAAGGGCATTTCCAGAGAGGTTTAACGGAGGAGGGAAGGCCCATCTTGACGGTGGGCAGCACCACCCCTGCACTGCGATCACACTGAATAAGAAGGAGTTGTGCTGAGCTGAGCCCCAGTGTTCTCTCTGCTTCCTGACTCAGAAGGCAACCAGACCAGCCACCTGGCTCTCCTATTTCCATGCCTTCCCTACCACAAGGAACTATATCCCTTCTTATACCCTGAGCCAAAACAAACCTTTTCCTCCCTAAGTTCCTTTTGTTAGGTGTTTTGTCCCAGGAAGGAGAAAATGTAATGAATACAGCCCTTATAAGACCTCTCCCTCGCCTGTTACAGGCCTCTTCCAGAAATGAAATAGACATTATTTTTTTTTAAGGCACAGGCTTAAATAATTCTTTTTCACCCCCAGAATTGGGCTGACAAACACTTGACTACACAGGAGACACTTCCCCAGGGGCAGCAAGTACTTCATTTCCTTCATATAAACAAACACAAGCCCTTTCTCACGTACAAGCCAAACGGTGAGGTCACCTCCTGTGAGGCCCTGCCAGGCAGTGGAGGGGACCCAGTAGGCAAGAACAATTTCCAAGGGGAGTGTGGGTGGTTCCAGGTTTCACTTGGGCTCCACACAGGTAAATCAGTGTTGGTCAAATGAATTTGGAGAAGCAAGGAGAAGTAACTGCCGGTGGCCCCAGGGTTTTGAACTATTAGCCAGAGACAGAGTCTGCTAGACCCTACTCCAGTGAGGCATGCTCTGAAGATAGGCACAAGGCATATGCATGCCTATCTAGGATTGCTCAAAAATGATGACTCAGCAAACAAAGACAGCAGTGTGAGTAAATTGCTTGCTGTTCCACACACTGAAGTAGAAGGCAGAGGCTGAGTTGGGGAGTCTGAGGTAAGGAGGCTGAGGTAGGAAGGCTGGGGTAGTGAGACAGGGGTGAGGAGACAGGAGTGGGGAGGCTGGGGTAGGGAGGCAAGGTGAGGAGACAGGGGTAGGGAAACAGAGGTGGGGAGGCTGGGGTAGGGAGTGGGGGTGGGGAGACTGGTGGGAGGCTGAGGTAGGAAGGCTGGGGAGGCAGGGGTAAGGAGACAGGGGTGGGGAGGCTAGGGGAGGGAGGCTGGAAGAGGAAAACTGGGGCAGGGAGGCTGGGATGGGGAGGCTGGAGTGGGGATACATGGGGGGGAGTAGCTGGAATAGGGAGACTATGTTGGGGAGACTGGCTGGGAGTTGGGAGGCTGTGGCGACGAGGGGAGGGTGAGGAGGCTGGAAGAGGGAGGCTGGTCTCAATTAGCCCTTGTAGTGTGAGGAGTCAGGCCTAATAGTGAAGCCAATTAGCTGCCAATGAAATTTTGCAAGTTTTTGACATAAACATGAGCCAGTTCAAAGTGATTCACAATAGATAGTCTCCCCTTTCCACTTTCCAAGCAAGCAAGAAAGGCTGTGGCTATGAGACACAGGAACTGCACATCACCCAAAGCCCCTCTCAGGTGCCAAAAACATGTCCTGAGTGATGGCTCCAACATGCCGTTATTAGTCCTGATCTTCCATTACTGCAGAGATTAGCGTCTCTGCCAAACTTTTTAAGGTTAGGCAAAACCTGGCTTCCTGATGTTGTTATATATTAACACAAAACATGTCATAGTGACTGCTCTTTTTCACAGTAGCAGAGCATTTGCCAGCAGTCACCGTGGACAGCTGCATTGTTCCTACATCTCATGCAAGAATGTCTGCCACCAAGTCACCCAAGAACTTAGTGGCAGTAAAAAGGTTCCTCTGCAGCTGACCTTCTTTTGGTTGTCTTCTTGGGCTTTTCACTCTATTTTCCAGGGAACTCAGAACTCCTGCCTTAGAACAGTAAATTGAACATGAAATTGCAACCCTAAAGATAGACTTCCACACCAAATTCTATCATTTATGAAGTATATGTGTCTCCGTTTTCAGAGCTGCCCAGTGACTTCAATAGTGGCCATCGCAGGAATAGAAGACCAGAGTTTTCCCGGAGTGCAAAGTCCAACCCAGAAAGCAGGTGAGTGAAGTTCACCACACTATAGAGAACGAACTTCAGAATCGGTGATGTCACTATCCTTATGTCACACAGGGCTGGGGAGACCTGAAGTCAGGTGCACACTGGTTGACAAACCTTCATCCTCAGCAGGAGCAAGGGGTTAGTTCCAGGAGCCCTCCCTGGGATTTGGCTGACTGAGGGAGTCCATACCAGAAGGAAGCTTTGTTTGTGTCAGCATCTGTCTCAACAGGTGAGAGTGGTAATCCATTGGCAACGACACTGGTTTGAGCCTTTTTCTGGACCAAGATGGCAGGGTCTTTCTCCTACAGGATGCTGCTGCTCCCTTGCCATCCACTTTCTCCATTCAGAATAGCCATTCTGAGAGAAGCGGGTGGTGATTTGAGGGCGGTGAGACTCTAGTTCTGAGCCTTGGAGGCCATAAGGTGTGTGTGTTGGTGGGGGGGGGGGTTCCTGACCCCAAAGCACTTGATCCAGATGTGAGACTGTGCTCAGGGAATCCTGCTTTGTTCAAGGGGAGGGGGTCATGCTCAGTGACAGGGCTGCTCCTAGGAGGAGGGGATGGGACATGTTTAGGGGCGGGGTCATGCTTAGGAGCCGGCTGTGCTCCAAGGTGGGGCTGTGTTCAGTGGGGAGGAGCCATGATTGGTGGGGGCTGTGCTCCGGGCGGAGCCATGCTCAGCGGGTGGGTGGAACTGTGTTCCGGGAAGAGGCTTACTCAAGTGGCATGTGAATCTGTAAGACACCTTCACCAGGTTCCCAGGGGAACCTCAAAGCAACAGTGAGAGGGCAGCCTCTTTAGTAGCATTACTTCTTCCTTCTTATCATCATCATCTTTTTTTTTTTTTTTTTTCGAGACAAGGTTTCTGTGTGTAGCCCTGGCTTTTCTGGCACTCACTCTGTAGATCAGAAACTCACAGAGATCCACCTGTCTCTGCGTCCTGAGTGCTGGGATTAAAGGTGTGGGCCACCACACCAGCCTCTTTCAACAGTGAGAGAAACCTGGCTCAAACACTTACTGATCCTTATCAGTAAGGGGGGAAAGCAACTTGCACATTCGGGAGAAATTTCTAGAAGCAATACTTATTTCAGGCATTATGATGCCATGAAGACACTCTCTCAAAGGCTTTGGTATCTGGGAAGGTAACAAGGTTGTGGATCCTTTTCAGGAACACACCCTTAAATTAGTTCCTCCACCTGTTTCCACCTCTCCAGGTTGGGTCATCCTGCAGCCTCAGTGGTCACAGCAAGCCCCTTCTGCGTTCTTCCCATCCACCCCACCTCCATAGCACCCACCCTTCCAGCTCTTCTACAAGAAGGGAATGGGAGGGAAATGCCCTGGCTGGACCACTGTCCTATTCCAGGATTTGGTTCATGCTGCCCGCCTGGGTCAGAATCATGTGGCACCATGGGGCTAGGACCAGGCATGCAGGAAGCCTTTCTGTTATTCTTTGTTTAGGTCAAGCAAAGGAACACTCGTGGGTAATTCGCAAAGTGTCTGTACTCCGAGGTATTGCCAATCTCATTATCATTAATTTTTGCATATTTAACTACAGTTTTTAATTAGATGGTATTTTATTATTCATGCACATAATTTGAGTTGGAGTCTGCTGCTCTCTTGAAGGAAAAGGGGGGTGGAAGGCAGATATTCCTGAATTGGAAGTCAGGGTTGATGCTTCTGTTTGGCTGGAGAGCAGAGCGGCCCCTAAGTCCATAATGGTTCTCTTTTAATTTTGCTAATAGCTATCATGTTATGTACCTTTATAAATTTGTTAGAGCCAGAGAGCTGGGAGTAGTCTCTGTATGCGGTGACTGTAAACAGCCCTCTCTGTTTGGTCTGTGCATACAAACTGTTTGCTCAAGCTCCTTGATGTATTATTAAAATGGGTAATGGGCCCCTGGGAACGCATCTAGTTATAGGCCTTCATTTGCAGAATAAACCATGCGTTGTTTTCATCTTTACTCATGATTGTTAATGGCGCTGATGATGAGATGGGTGGGTTTTCTGGGCTCTGCCTTGATCCTCGGCTGTTTTATTATGCAGGCAAAATGGCCAGGCTGCTGATTTTGTCGAAGGTTTTCAATTAGTCATTTGACTGAACACATCTGTGCTGGCATCCACCCAGAGCTGGACGGCAGCTATTACCAGTTTACACCCGCTGAACCGTGGCCATAAACGCGGATGGGAATAAACCTAAATTGGCCTTTTAGATATGGTTGAAAAGTTGTAATGTTGCAGTGTTTTATAGCGGTGTCAGGAAGGTGTGAACTTTCCGCCTTCCGGCCTAAGAACCTGCCATGATATTCCACTCCATTCAAATGACTCACTTATAGGCTGGCTCTAATACCTGTTTACCATTTTGTGCCCATGACTTAATCAGCCTGCTAAGTGGGTAAGATTGCACTTTAGGGCTGCAGTGGTTTGTAGTTTAACTGTGTTGGTAAACAAAGCAGAGGGGCTGCCTTGGGGTTACTGGGCAGTCGCTGGACGCAGGTCCCCACACTTTTTACTGAAATGAACACTACTTTGAAGCAGAGCAGAGGCCTCCTGAGGCTGGAAGTGCCACCTGACTTTACTAGGGTGGAGAATCTGTCACTTATATGCACGAGGTGATCTGGTGACAATGATAGCTCTGCAGTCTCCCTGATGCTGAGCTCCTGAGAGGAGGACATGATGTTGCTGAGGATTGAGCATTGAGGCCCATTGGCTGCTCCCTGCATCCCCAAGGAGCAGTAGGCAAGGCATCTGAGGGCAGTAGCCAGGCTTCTGGGGAGAGAGTGGCTAATATTTCTCCCCAGCAGTGGCTTTCCCCCCAGGGCTTTAGCTTTGGGTAGTTTCACTGTGGTCTCATGAATGACTGTGTTCACCTTCAGTAGACATGATAAACACTGAAATCTGTCTTCTGTGGGAGGACCCATTGCCTATGGTCCCCCCCACACACGTCATTTTCTATTGCCTGTTGACCCATAAGCTGCTCCAATCTGTGAGTACAGGTTGAAATTTGGTTCAAAAGTAATTTCACTCTCTGTTGTGGCATGTTTGTAACTTTTCCATTGCTGTCTGAAATCACCAGACTCTTGGCCACCATTGTCATCATTGACTCATCCAGTCCTGCATTCTGACTCTGTTGCCACTCCATATGACACATATGAGAATCCCTACATGCTGTCTTTAGTCTTCATAAGGGGAGTACCAGGACCAGAGCGAGCACTGTTATCATGCTTACTTCAAAGATGAGGAAGCCAATGGGGCTGCAACTACTCTAGATCAAGTAACAATGAGTAACAAGGAGTCAGGGTCCACAGCAGTTAAGCACAGGGATTCCTATATAGGCAATGAGTTACGCAGCTAGGGAAAGTTCCCTAAGCCCTGCATCTGAAACAGCAACCTGAGGAGGGTGGGGAAGGCTTTCATCAGCTGAACTTGCTTTATTTTCACGATTTCTTACTAGTGGACTCCTGGGCTGCTTCTGATTTTCCACTATTGTTAGAACACCTCTGTAGCCATACCTGGGTGCATGGAAAAGTGCTTTTGCAGCTATAGGACACACACTTGCTCTCCAATATGGTGAGAGTAACCTGCCTTGCATGGGAGCCCAGGCTCTGCTGATTTGATATTCTTAAACTCCTTAAGTTTTGGGATCCCAAATACATTTGCCAAAAGTTGAGATTTAGGGCTGTTTGTGAAATGAAACCATTGAACTTGATATTGGTGAAGTTAATAAGCTTTATCTTTCTCTCTCAGGCCCACTGACTTCAGCCCTTCAGGAAAAATGGAGAAGCTCCACATTTTCCGAGGCACAGTCCACACAGCCATTCTTTTCTCTGCTGTAGAGACCCTCTCCTCTGCAGCTTGTATAGTGGCTGAGAGAAGAGCTTAGGCATGAGGTGGTCTGGGTTCAAATCAGGCAGGACAGTCCCTAGCTGCAAGGTGATGTGACCCTTCCTGCATTGCAGCTTCCTCCTCTGTGTAATGCCTAGATCACACCGGCCTCCCTAGGTGGTTGCAAAGACTAAGGTAGGCATAGTATTTAGGAAAGTGTCTGGTGCTTGGCTAATGTCATATAATTTTTTTATGGACTATAGATTTTATAACAACTTAGTCTAACAGGCTAGATGTCTCTTGTTTAAAAATTCTGTTTTCAAAAACATCTTTTTAAAAGTTATAGTATTTTAAATGCTGTAATAGCTGTTGAGACCAACTCTTTCTCCTAATCAGGAGACACTTGAGGTATAAGGGAAATGCCTTCACCAGTCCCCAGCATTCATAATACCCCAACACCTGGTGCAGTTTGAGCTCAATAAATGATGCCTAGACAGGTGGGCCAACAGCACACATAGCTCATCGGCCTCTGTTTTAGTCAGTCTTCATCACTGTGGCAAACACTTGAGAGAAACAACCTAAAAGGAAGCATTCAGCACAGCTCATGACTTCAGAGGTTGTATCTAGTCTGTGGTCACTCAGCCCTATGGCAATGGGTCTTCAATGAACAAACAGAACACCATGACGGAGAGGGTGTTAGTGGAACAGTGCCACTCACCTCACCACAGCCAGGAAGAAGCCAGGAAAGCAACCACGACCAACAAATGCCCTTCAAGGGATGTCCCCCAGTGACCCACCGTTTCTAACTAGGCAGTGCCTCTGAAGTTCCCACCATTTCCCACAATACCACTGGATTAAGAATCCATCTAGGATTAATCCATTGATTAGGTCAGAACCCTCACAATCCAATAACCTCTCAACGATTGGACCTGCCAGCCAGGGACCAAGCTGTCAGCACGTGCACCTTTAGAGAGATACTTATCTGACCCCTAACAACCTTAGTAGGCAAAATTCAAAATTTACTGTCTTTAAAATGGGAATGCCTTGGCCCACGCTTGATAAACTGTACGGTGATCTCTGCATTTTGAATAGCTTCCTCTATGGCTTTTGGCATTAAAAGCCATGCTTATGAGCTTGCAGATAATTTTGTATCCATAGGAAAAAAATATTTCTAGGCCTTGACATAGCTTCTCAGATATATTTGGTATCTGACGAGTTATCTACTAAATGAGCTGTCTCTGGTGGTAGCTGTGGGATTTTCATGTTTATTTGGCCCCAAGAGATGAAGGCCTCTCAGAGGATTCCCACCATAGGTCCTGGACACTCTGGTACTATGCCTGACTTCCCAAAGGAGGGGGCAGCAGTCCTCTGTGGCAATTTCACTTCCCCTACTCCTCCTCCAA